CAGAAGCAATATATGAAGAGACAATAGCTAAGAATTTTCCAAAAATGATGAAAGATTTCAAGCCACAATATAAAAAACATCACAAATCCCAAGGAAGATAAGTACAAAGAAAAACACAATTAGGCATACCATAGAAAAACTACTAAAAAGATAAAGATACTTCAATAAAATACTACCAAATTAAATCCAGCAGCATATTAAAAGGATTATACATCATGATCAAGTGGGATTTATCCCAAGAATGCAAGGGTGGTTCAGCAATGAAAATCAATCCAGGTAACACACTATATTAATAAAATGAAGGAAAAAAATGCATGATCATCTCAGTTGATACGAGGAAAGCATTTGACAAAATCCAAAACCCATTCATTATAAAAACACTCAACAAACTAAGAATAGAAGTAAATTTCCTCAACCTGATAAAGGGCATCTATGACAAACCCACAGCTAACATCATACTTAACGGTAAAAGACTGAAAGCTTTCCCCCTAACATCAGAAACAAGACAAAGGTGTCTGCTCTCACCACTTCTGTTTAGCACTGTAGTAGAAGTTCTAACCAGGGCAAATAGGCAAGAAAAAAAAAAGGCATCCCAATTGGAAAGAAAGAAGCAAAACTATCTTTATTTGCAGATGACATTATCTTATGTACAGAAAATCCTAAAGAATACACACACACACACACACACACACACACACACACACAAAACAAAATTCAGCAAAGTTGCAGGATAAAAAATAACACAAAAAAGCAGTTGTACTCTTAAACACTACCGATGAACAGTCTGAAAATGAAATTAAGGAAGCAATTCCATTTACAACATCACCAAAGATAAAGAGAAAATCTTAAAAGCCTGAAGAGCAAAAAAGGCGCATTATCTTCAAAGAGCAACAGTAAGTATGATGGCTGATTCTCCACTGAAAAGATGGAATCCGAAAGATTCTGTAATGACACCATTAAAAAAACAGCAAGAAAATAATAACCAAACTTGAATTCTATTCCAAGCAAGAATATTTTTAAAATATGAAGGAAAAAAATAGACATTTCCAGAAAACATAAACTGAGAAAATCACCCCTCACAGAAGCACATTAAAGAAATCACTATACGGAGTGCTTCAGGTGAAAGAAATATGATCCTAGATGTAAAATCAGAAATGCATGAAGGAACGAAAAACAGTGAAAAGGGTAAGTATATGGATAATTCTAAAATAATATTAGCTGAATAAAATGACAGAATGTCATTTGTCAATTAATATACACGAAAAAGAAAGATACATCATATGTGAGGGAATAAAGGGAGTTAAAGTGCCCTAAATTTGCCATGTTTTCTGAGAATTGGTAAAGGTACTTATTTATGTTAAACTCTAATCAGTCAGTGATGTTTGGTTTAATCTTTAGTGTGGCCAGTAAGGTTAAAAAAAAAAAAAAGAGTAATATATACCTAAGAATACTATGGGAATGGATAAATAAGAAATGCTTGATTAATCCAAAATAAGGGAAGAAGTGAGGGTGGGAAAGAGCATAAATAGTGGGAAAAATAGAAAACCAAGAGCAGAATGGCAGATTAAAACTGAAATACACATGTAATGTAATTACATTAAATATAAATGGAGTGGATAGATTTTCAAGCATCTAAATTAAAATACGAAGATTGTCAACCTGAAAAATATTTTATGCTACTTATAAGAGATGTAACTGCAGAACGAGGAATCATTAAATATTGAAAGTAAACGGATGAAAACGATATTGGTTAGATATTAGTTCTCCCCAAACTGATTTACAGAGTCAACGTAATGCCGATCAAAATCCCAACAGGTTGCTTGTTGAGAGTGACAAGCTGACTCTAAAATTAATATGGAAATGCAAAAGGCCAAAAATAGCCAGGACAATCCTGAAGAAGAACAACGCTGAAGGACTTACTCTACAAGATATCAAGACAGCCTAAATGTATGATAATTAAAAGTGTAGTTATTGACACAAGGATAAACAAATGAATCAGTGTCACATAACAGAGAGTCCGGAAACATATCCACATATATATGGGTGATTGATTTAGCATATAAATATTATGTTAAATAAATAAACAGCAGTGCAGTGGGGAAATTATGGTTTGTTCAATAAATGGTGCTGAAGCAATTAATTGAAAAAGTTGAATTTTGACTCCTATTTCACACCGTACAGAAATATCATTTCCAGATGGACTGTTAACCTAAAGGTGAAAATTAAAGCAGTCAAATTTCTAGAATATAAAAAAAGCATAGATTCATGACCTTAAGATAAGAAAACAGTAAACCAGATACAAATATTGTTAATCTTCAAGAAAATAACTGATAAATTGGATTTCTTTAAAATAAAGAATGTCTATTCACCCAAAGACACCAATAACTCAGTGAGAGGATAAGACACATAATGGAATAATAGCATATAGATAGATAGATGCATATAGAGGAAACAAGAGATTGATGGATGGATGGATAGCTAGCTAGCTAGAGAGATAGATAGATATTCATCAAAGAGCGCTTATCCAGAATATAAACTGAAATTCTATGAATCAATAAAAAACTGACAATCTAATGAAAATGTGGGCAAAAGACTTGAACGGGCATTTCACAAAACAGGACAACCGTATTGATAATATGCATATGAAAATATGCTCAATTCCATTAGTCATCAGGGAAACGCAAATTAAAACCATGAGAAGATGTCAACCAGAATAGCTAAAATGAAAAAAACAAAAGTAGTGGACATCACCAATGTCTGCAAAGATGTGAAACAACTAGAAATCCCCATACTTTTTGTGGGAGAGTAACATGGTACAACAACTTTGGAAAACTGGCGGTATCTCCTCAAGCCAAACCCCAGAGACCTCTGTGGTGGAGCTATGCTGCTCCTGCGTATAAATCCCAGGAAGTGTATGTGTACCAAGAGACAGCGATGAGAGCGCCCATGAGGTCGCTACATAATAGTTAGACCTGGAAAAGAACCCAAATGTCTATCAAAAATAGAACAAGATAAATACACTATGGTACATACTTTGAAGTGTATCATATATAATGGTGAAAAGTAATTAATTATTGCTATAATATCAGCGGGGTTGAATTTCAGATATTGAGGAAAAAAACTAAATAGGAAAAAGCACCTCCCATATAATAAGTTACATACATTTCAAAAACAGGGAACGCTAATCTATGATGATAGAAATCAGCAGTCTGGCTACTTTGGGGAAGAGGGGTGGTGGTCACTGGACAGGAACACAAGGGGGCTTCCAGGGAGCTAATAGCTGTCTGTTTTCTGGCCTGGGTCGTGGGTCACATGGTGATATTCTTTTGGTTGAGTCTTTAAGCTTTGCGCTTAGCATTGTGTACTTTTCGGTATATATGCTATACTCCAATAAGACATTTTTTAATGCATCTGAGGAGCCAGGGATGTGTGTCTGGTGAACTTGCAAAGATGGTTCTGATGTATCTACAACATGTATCTGGTGAGCTTTCACGCATCCTCTTAAGATAAGAGTTTGCTTACCACCCTACCCCCCAGATAGGAGATAACACGATCTCTCTGGTTCTAACTGGGTACCCGTGCTGGGAGCTGTTAGTTCTGCTGCAGGTCAGCAGTGGCACGCCCAGGGTCCCTGAGCCTAGGCATGGTCCACCACTGTCAAGAGCCCTGGGGTGTCTCGCCCTTAGCCTGCTCCTTTGCTAAGTGACTCATGGTTTGGAAACGGAAACTCTCTGATGCAAGCTTGAGTCTGGGCCAAAGGTATTCACAGGTAAACAAATAGCTACAGGAAATTAAATTCACTTTTTTCCCCCGGCACGTTTGGAGTTGGTAAAACGCATCGAAAGGGGTAACAGAGGTTCCCAAGGCAGTGACCAGAAAGACAAGAAGAGGGAAGCAGAGACAGCCTCGCACGGAGACAAGGGATCAGAGACAGATATTGTGGGGAGAGAGTAACAGTGATGTCTCCAGATCAGTGATAATAACAACGTAGCAAGAAGAGCCCCCATGCGTTATGCCCTGACTGTGGGAAGGCCTCTTGCTAGTTAAAGATCTGCAATTTCTTACCCAATTCTCACATCACCCCCTCTGGGGCAGTGTTACCACATGCTTGAGGAACTCATTCCCATCATGGGATTACCTCTTTGCTAGAGGAGTCAGAACACTGAAAAGAAACGGACTTGGTTTGTAGATGTGCTTAAGGAGGGTGCCAATTACGGTAGGATTTCTAGGGGGACCCCAAAATGTTGGGAAGGATGTTGGTACTACTTTGTAGCAAGGGTTCTAAGCTCAGCACTGCTGATCGCTGGTTCCAGAAAATTCTTTGTTGCTGACCTGTGCATTGTAGAATGTCTAGCGGCATGAAGGTCTGCTATACTAGGTACTTCTAAAAGTAATCTCATTCAACCTCCCGATCACACTGTGAGGAAGATATTATAGTCATTACACAAGAGAAGAAAAGCTGAGGTTAAGGAAATGTTCCAGGATTGAAACTCAGGCTCCGAGTGTGATTCTCTCTGTTTTTCCACATGCAAAATGATTGTATACACTTGGAATCAGAGGATCAGAGGAATCTGCCGCTCCCTGCGGGGGATTTGATCCCTTCACACCTGATTCCTCATGTGTAAAATCAGGGTCATCCCTGCCCTGCCCATCCCATTGCATTCGCTTGCAGAACACACAGGAGAACTCATGGAAAAGCTCCCTGACTTAATGGTAATCCTTAAAATTTGTTTGGGCTTTGTAGTTTGCGGTGACCTCATTTAGGTCAGTTTAGTTTTCAGCGTGCCAGGAGGTGAACAAAATCCGAAAAGGTTTTCCATCTCCCGGGAAGTAGCTCTACTTTTACTTAATTTTTGCGAGTCTGTCGTAGCACAACGTGTAGTGATTCACCTGGCAAGCCCTATGGTGTACAGAGCAGTTCTAATTCAGATGCAAATCCCAGCCTCAGACATCAATTCAGACCAAGTCTCCGAGTCTCTGGCACGCCTCAGGTGATGACTGAAAGTACTACCTTCCACAAAGGAGGAAGAGGTGCCAAAACCTGGGCTTTCCTCTGTGGTTGGAGCCCATGACAAATTCCAGCCTGAGACTTGGAGGCAGGTTCACAACGAGGAAGAGGTAGAGGGTCTTAATGCACGTAAACCTCATGCCACTTGGCCACCTGCAGTCAGTGACTCATCCGTGCTCAGCCACCCAGACCTCTGGGAGCACCTGTTCTAGGAAAGGTATGTGGTTTCTCTGACTGCATCAACAGGGAAAGCAGAGGTTTGTCCCAAACCGGCACCTGTGAGACTGGTCACGTTTGCTTGTGAGCAGTTCACTATGACATCTTTTCTCGTGGATCATCATTTTTCTTAGCTTCCCTTGATAGTTATCATGGCTGAGGAGAAAAGGAGAGGAGGAAAGTGCTTTCCAATAATCTAGTCAAGAGACTCAGGGTAGATCTACTAGTCAAAGCATGACATATTAGCCAGAGGGGAGGATTTAGACCAGTTATTTTCAAACATTAGTGGAGAGCGTATTACTGCAGAGTTTGTCCATAGGAACCTCTCTCAGCCTCAGCCTTTGAGTTTCTGATTCACTAAATAATTCTACATCAGGCAGTTGCAAAATCCCACTTGAAGAAACCCTCCTTGAAAATATTCCCTAGTCATCACCTGCTTACAAAGTTTGTTTCTGGTTTGGGAAAGAATGATTCATCATGTCAATCCACTTCGAGAGACTCTAACTTAGGGACTCAAAGCAAAAGACAAGGGGATAACCCAGAGCTTCAACATGCAGCATAGCACCAAGGTGCAGACATGGTTGACTCCCTTTTCTCCATGTCTGCTTCCACAATTCTTAGGTCATTCTTCTTCTGTTCTTATGAACAATTTTCTTTATCCTCCAAGAGCAGAAGCAAATATTGTGGCACACACTTCTTCTTCTCGTGTTTTAAATCCTACTGCAGTTACAAAAAACTACTCCCTCAAAAAGGAATCATCTCTGCTAGGATCCCTGTCTTGGTCTGTCAAATGTGGCCACTGAGTCAGGGACTGATTACACCAGTTAAGTTCATCTGTTTCAGAGATGTGTCCTTTGAAAGACCTGCAGAGATTCTTTGAATTTGGGTCTCTCGGTTCATCTCTTTTTGTCAGAAGAGACCAGGTTGTACTACAGAAAACAAATTAACGCCGGAATTTCAGTGACTTAACTTCACAAAGATCCCCAGCTTGGGTCAATGGGCACCTCTGCTCCACAGTGTCACTCAGGGATCCAGGTTAACAGAAACTCCACCATCATGGGCTGAGCCATCTGAAGTGCATGGCTTTCAAGGTCATCTCAGCAGGGGAAGAGAGCAAGGACAGGTACATGGGTTTTCACCTGCCTTGTCCCGGAAGTGATACTTTTGAACTTACCCAGATCCAGTTCTCTTGTTCCTAGGCACTGAAGATTACTTTTCAGCCCCTTGCAGTTAAGTCGGCATCATGTTACCTGTTCCGACCAATGAGTTGAAAGCGATAGTAACCTCTCCAAGCAGCCAGAATTGATCAATTCGCCTACCCCACAGAATGAACTTTGTACAATTTACGAAGACTGAACGTAAGTATTAATATGTCCAGCTTGGATACCCTGAAGGGTTTAACTGAAATGCCTTCACCACTTTACTATTAAGGTGAACATTTGATGTTGATTTTTGATGAATGATGTCTATCAAGCTAAGAAAGGGTCCTGCACTTGCACTTTGAGGCAAATAAGTAGTAGCTTTGTTGTAAAAAATAAACAACTTATTTTTAAGAGTAAAACATTCAAGGATACAATACCCAGAAAAGTACAGTGCAGTTCTTCTATTAGTTACCAAAGGCTTCTCATTAATTTGTTGGTGAAACATCTTGCCAGGTGTGTCTGGAGATATGTCTGCTCTGATTCAGGTGGGATCTTCTTCCCTTTCAATATTGAGTTTCTGTGTCATGTAAGGATCTCTTTCTAGTGCTCACATCGATCCATTTTAGAATAGCCACTTCCTGGTGTCATAGGTAGTGTTCAAATTGCAGAGAATGGCCAGCTTTGCCCCAAATGCTGTCTATTCTATAAAGACCTGACAATGTCTGTTTCTAATTTTGTTCATTTTTTCCTAATTCTCTAGAATTTGTGGCCCAACTTACTCCTACGTGCATTGATTCAATGCCAAAGGAAAGGATCAAGGTCTGACATCTTTGTACTCTCAGTTGAGGGTCTGTGGATGGCATCTATAAAATGCCTACTACAACTGCAATGAGAAGGTACTTTCCTCTCTTTGTTTTGGAAGATAAGAGTACTTTTCAGGTCAAGTTCTGCCTAGAATGCCCTCCCTAAGTCTCTTTTCTTTCTCCCCTCTTTCACCTTGTGTCTCCAATTGCAGGAGCTGGGGCTGAAACCCCAGGGTTTGCAACAGTCATGCTGGTGTTGGGTGTAAACCAGGCAGCCACACGCAAACCGGGCCTGCTCTCGCTGTGGTTTCCCGTGCTCGTCTACTGGTGTCCTAACCTGCCTCCACTTGGGGCTGGGCTCTCAGGTGCCACGCTCGGCCCAGGCACAACTGGGGACCTGGGCAAGTGGAGCTGAATGAGAAAGGCAGGCATCCTGGTGCAGTGGGAAGAACACTGGATTCAAAAGTAGGCCACGAGTTTACTAGCTGTATGGCATGCAATAGGTGAATGACCTCTCTGGGGTTCAGCTCCTCATATGCAAAGTGGGCACCAGGACTTTGCAGAGAAAATTCAATGAGATATTTCTAGGCTGGTGCCTGGCTCATCCAAGAACGGATGTTTCCTAAAAGGAGATTAATTGATTCATCTGGTTTGCTGTAAAAGGTTTCCCAGGCCCATCAGCTCCAATGAACAGCTTACAGCAAGCAAAGAAGCACACTGTCTAGTGACTAAATAATGAACCAATAACGGGCAGGAAAAAAAGTAAAGCCAGCACTTGGCTAAGGAAAAAAAACAGACATGATGACATCTATTTACCTTTTTAGACAAGCATTCCCCACTTCCCAAATCAGCCCTGAAGCCTTTTATTTGTTAATGGCTCAACTCCAAAGCATGTGCCCTGGGAAATCACAATGCACCTAATCATTTTAGCAATAATCCCTGAAAAATTGGCCGTTACTGGAAGTGACCAACAATTTGGTTGTAACGGCCTGAAGCAAGATTATTAACAGCAAATGTGAAGATGATTATTTTAGCAAATTGCCACTGATTGGTAAATTCAGAACACAAAGACCTCATGCCTGGCTGGAGTCTCCGGGAAATCATTTCATGCCCATAATAAGTGTCTGCTGCTTGAGATATAAAATGCCATTTGAGTCAGTTCTCTCACTGTTTGGGGCAGGGAAGGTGCCCAGTTATAGGCAGGGACGGATAGGATTTGTGGGTGGGGTGAAGCAAAGGATGCTAAGAAAGTTACCACCTCCACGCACTGATTTTGGAAGCCTATTTTTCCTAATTGCTGAGCCAAAGAGAAGTTCAATGCATCATAAGGCTCAATGTATGTATAACATGGTAGCCACTTCCAGTGAAATTATTATATCCATAAATTAGTGAGATATTTTCGGTTTGCAAGAAGATAGAAAGCCCAAGCCAAACTTGTTTAAACAAAAATGGAACATTTGGGCTCATTTAAATGAAAATTCCTGGAATGTGTCCAGCTTCAGGCCTGGCTTAACCAAGGGGACCACACGGTGGCTCCCAGATTCGGTACTTCTGCATCAGTTTCCTTCCTTTCCTTCCTTTGTGTCAGCCACACAGAGGGGAAGGTGGGGCAGCAGGGCCAGGCTTGCTCCTCTACAGATTAACATCTCTTTCCCGGGCGACCCAGCAACGGCCCCGCTGTCTGTCTGTAATGTGGATCCTGTCCTCGTCACCAAACCAGTCACAGTGACTGGAGAATGTCACGAGCTAATTGGCCAGAACCACAGGCCCGAGCCATTCCTGGAACTAAAGATGTGCGCTGAGGACAGGGGAGAGGTCAGATCCTCTGAGAGACACTGAGGTGCTCTAACCAAGAGAAAGGGGCCAGAAGGAGGACAGATGTTCCCCACGTTCTCCAACCCAGGACAGAGCACTGATTTATAGTAATTAGCATCCAGTGACTCCCCCACTCCAAACAAACACAAATGGATGAGGCGCTCCTGGCCAAAGCTGATGCAATGTGCTTTATTTATTTAATTGGATTTAATCTTCATTCTGTTTAGTGAATACTGGAAGGAAACAATTAAGCAAAAGGGTGGAACCATCTATCAGACTGAAAGAAGAAGCAAGCTCCTCAGAGCTGAAGCAGATTCTAGAGGAGAGGTGAAGGGCAAAGGGAGCGTGCGAAGGAGGAGAATCACGTGTGTTGCCCTGGTCACTGAGAACTTTCAGCCTCACGGTGCAGCCTCTCCATCATCTGTTGAAACTCAGACTTCTGCATCTGCATAGATTCCCTGCCTTCTTAACTTTGCACAAGTCTTCCCTCTGCCTAGGATTCCTTCGTCTACTTTCCTAGGTGCAAAACTTCACCTGATACTTCAAGACTCTGACTTCTCCTCCTGCAGCGACCTTCCAAGTCTTTTAGGCTTCCAGAACCACAGTACCCTCTGCATATCATCGGAAAAGAGAAGTTAACAGACAATTTTGGTCCCCTCCCTCACGTCTGCCGTTAAGAGAAACAGGGATTTGCGGGGTGGCACTGGTGAGTGAATAAAAAGCACTGACTGAGGGCACCCATAGGATAGGCTCTGGGGCCTGGGGAGGGGGCTGAGATCTCTGTGAGTTCATGTTGCAGGGGGCGTTTCTGGAAGAAGATGGAATTGGGTGGAGGACTTGAGAGATGCCCAGGATGTAGACAGACTGATGATAGAAGGGGGAGTGACCTGAGAGCCAGAGGTGGGAGCTGACAGATGTGTGCAGGTAGCACTTCCAAAGGCGGTGAGGGGTGCAGTGGGAAAGTAATGGGGAAGATGGGACACAGCCAGCCAACGGATGAACATTCAAGCTTTGTCCCTATAGGCAATGGGCAGCTGCCGAAGTTAGCAAGTGACCTGGAAAATGGGATTTTAGGCCATTCGCCTGGCTAGGTTGTGCCAGGGTGACAGCACGAAGACAGATGAGTTCAGGTACCATTGTAGTGAACCACGGGTAAGCTGTGAAAGTCACCCTCTATAGTAGAAGCACCTGGGCATTAAGTCTTCAGAGTGGCTACTGTCAATTAGGGACATTCCGTCTGCCGGGCACAATTCTATGCTCTTTTCATGTAATAACTCAGTTAATCCTGAAACAGCCTTGTAAGTACGATGATCATTCCCAGTTTTTCTACTGATGTGGAAACTCAAGTCCTGAGTGGTGAAGCCCCTTGTTCAAGGTCACCCAGTTACTATGTGGCAGACTCGGGATTCAAAAGCAGACAGTCTGGCCTTTTGCCTTCACCACAACACTAGCCAGAAGACCCGGATTCAAACCCCAGAGCTTCATCAAACCATTTTTGTGAGTTTGGATCTCAGTCTCCTTATCTGTCCAATGGGGACAATGGAACCCGCCTCATGCCTGAGGCATCTAAGCAACAGAAATGCTGAGCTCAGAGCTAGGGCTCTATGAAGGCTCTGATCAGTGCTGATTCCCCTTCTGTTTCAGTTGGTCACATCATCTTGTAATTAAAATGTATCATTAAGAAAGCAGAGCTCACCTCGCAACCCCTGCGCCCACAAAGTGGGTGGGGAGGAGGGGGTCATGCTGGGGCCCAGCGGTCTTCTCTGTGCTTCCTGTTCACCCTGCAGCCCCCAACTCCAAACCCAGCCACTTCCCAGATAGGACTGATTTCTCCCTGAACTCAGTTCATTTAAGGTCTCCGCCCCATGGAAGGAACACAGGAATCTGTGGCAGTGAACTCAGCAACATTTGTTACCCAGCCCAAGAATAAACAGAGAAAGCAAGCTCTCCACATCTTCAGAAGTGCATTTACTATACTCGAAACAGATGAATTCTCTCTGTTTGCATTAATCGCATGACTATTTGGTCCAATTATTCTTCCCACTTCAGCAATCATGGTGTGCTTGTTCAAGAAGAAAGAAATAACAACAGCTTATCTTGTTGAGAGCAAAGAACAAACAGTGAAAAATCAGGGTCCGCTCCTAAATGCTACACTTGCTGTCATTGTGCTAAAGAGATGATTCATGGTCTCATAGTAACTCGGGTAAAAAAAAAAAAAAGGAGGGTTCTGAAAAGATTTCAGTTGCAATGGTTAAAAACCTTTTCAAAATCAGTCCCAAGGGAGAGAAAACTCTCTATTTTTATCACCCAGCTCAACTCTGCTGGCCCTCACCCCAGCACCACAACTTCTCACATTGACCAATTTACATAGACTTAAATAATTCTTTCAAAGAACACATTTCATTAGAATAGGGTAATGGACAAAGTACTAAATGCTATTTAACTCCCTTTCTAAAGAACCCTTAAGGATGGCTAATGTTTTCAAGGAACAGACAGGTTAGTGCTGAAAGAACCATAGAAAAGAAACTACCAGGCAGCTTAGAGGGGAAGGTGAACAATGGTGGAAATGCTGCCCTTCCCATGTCACCAGGCAATAAGAGACGCCTGTTCCATGGGATGGCGTCACCCCGGTCCTCTGCCTTTTCCCTCTATGAACTTTCTCACAATAAGATTCAGCAACTAATAAGAACCTAAGGGAAAATACTATTTTTTTTTGTTTGTAGACTTGGTCTTGAATCAACATGTACTCCATTTCCTGACCTGTTACTGGAATCCTTAGCCTTGACTTCCTGCATCACCTCTTGGTGAACCCCTGGATAGACAATGGGTATTTGTTTTGGTACCAACTCTTGATCCTCTCCTCAGCTGCGTCTACTACCATCATCTTAAGTAACGTAAAGCTTGGTCCAGTCTGGTTGCTAAGACGGTACCCTGGTATCAGCCAGCAGAGTTTGGCTGTGGCACCATAAACAGGAAACTAAGTTGAGGGCTTCAGTCTCAAGGGATCACCCTTGTCTGATGGGACCATGGCTGGGGAACAATGGCACCGACACATCTGTATCAGGGCAGGAGGGTCTCATCTCTCGCCCTCTTCCAATCAGTCAACCCCAGTGGGTGTGGAATAGCCTTGGCCAGATGTTTCATTTGTCAGCAATAACAGAGTGAGAAATTTGGGCTCCCAATGCATTTGAACCCAGAGAAAATAAGAGGAAGCAGGAGACAGCTGATAAGCTGTTTGGGCAAGTCTAGAAGAATCACTAGGCATCTGTAAAGAGAACTGTTTTATCATGAGATAAATGAGACTTTCTTGCAAGTTCAGAACTTTAATAGACAAAACTATTTTTTATGGCAATGTAGCACTTTACAGATGCAAGAGGTCTCTGTTCAGCAAACACTTCAGTTCAACAAAATAATACACATTTGGGGGGGACTTCCCTGGCAGTCCAGTGGTTAGGACTCTGCGTTTCCACTACAGGGGGCCCCCATTTGATCCCTGGTTGGGGAACTAAGAGCCTGCTTGCTGCGTGGCATGGCAGGCAGGCAGGCAGGCAGGCAGGCAGGAAGGAAGGAAGGAAGGAAGGAAGAAAAAGAAAGAAAGAGAAAGAAAGAAAGGATTTTTCAATGGCCAAAAAATAATAATAATACACATTTTTTTATGTAGCCCAAACTAAATGTTGTAGCTAGAAGCATGATGAATAAAAGTTTCTTCCCCCTATTGACATGTAGATTAAAAGTGAATACAGAGGATAAATAGTAAACTTTAAAATAATAAGAAACCCAGCAATAGACATAGATACAAACTACAGATATGCATTTGTTAGAATTAATAATCCAACACTGGCAGATTACTATTAAATAAAGTACATGTTTTACCCAGGTTTCCTTAGTTTTTATCTAATGTCCCTTTCGTGTTCCAGGATCCTATCAGGACACCTCGTTATATTTAATCATCATGTCTCCTGAGGCTCCTCTTGACTGTGGCAGTTTCGTACACTTTTCTTTTTTTAATGACCTTGACAGTTTTGAGGACTTCTGGTCAGGCGCTTTATAGAATGTCCCTCAGTTGTGATTTCTCTCCTTTTTTTTCATGATTATACTGGGATTATGGGTTTGGGGGAAGACGACCACAGGAAAAGTTCCATTTTCATCATGTGACATCAAAAGTATAAGCTATCAACATGACATCACTGTTGATATCGCCCTGGGTCACCTGCTTCTCTGTTACCCCTCTGTCCACACTGAACTCTGTGGAAGTCACTACAGACAGCCCACGCCAAAGGTCCCCAACTCCCTTTTGTGCCTCTCTCATGACACTCCTTAAGGTTCCTCATCTGTAAGATGGGGATAATAACTAACAGTAGCTTCTTAACAGTATTGGATAAGTGTCTGCTGCGTGACAGGCGGTGTAGAAGTACCAGCTGCATAGTGTTAAATTAGATATTGAATATAAAGTGCGTAGCTCGGTACTTGACTCAGAGCAGGTCCACGAGAAACAGCTATTTTTCCTGCCTTTTTTGGAGATAATTTTGACATAATTGAACCATGGTAACTTCCCTTTTTTGCCTCGTGAGGGACATTTAATGTGACTGGAATATATAAAAGTATAAGATGGTTCTTCACCTGCACGGGGCTCTCTGATATGGGGTTATTATTATTATTATCATTATTCTAACCCTTGGAGGGGCACCATTCACCCCAAGCAGTAGAACAATGCAGAGCTGAGCCAAAGTCTCTTTTCTGCAGCCCAGATTCAAGCCGTCATTCAGCTCTTCTTCGTGTTTAGCTTGTGCCTCTGAGTGTTACTTGCTCCCATGGCTCCTACACTGGAGAAATTCCCTCAGTGCACCAGACCAGACTGTGAGCTCGAGGGAGGTGACTACAGTGATGCTTGTCACTGTGCCCTGTGTTCGGCAAACAAGTGATGGAAACATTGAGGTCTAACTTGGCTCTAAACCCTAAGGCAGACCACCACTGTCCTAAGTGTTTTTAGTTCTCCATGAGTGACATCCAAACAATGCCTTCCTAGACCTTAAATACCAGCAGTGGCTTCATTCAGTCAAGAAAAGATCCCCCCAGACGTCCGCAGTTTGCTCCCATCCACTCCTCTCCCAGCCTTCAGTCTCACTTCCACTCAATCTATCCATCAAAGCTGCCAGAGGTATCTCTCTATAACCAAAACCTTAGAGTATTTCTCCCCCGGTATAAATCAGTTGTAGGACAGGTCACCAAATAGCTGCTTCTTTCTGAACTCTGTACCATCATGGCAGGAGTGGGGGGATAGGGGGAGTCTCAGTCTCTGGCAGTTAACTGTTGATTTCTCTAACTCTTCCCCTGGACTGCAAGGGCTCTGAGAAAAGATCTCAAATTTTCAAGGAAAAAAGAGGGAAGGAAGGGTGGGGAGAAGGAGACACACAGAGAGAAATGAGCTGAGACACAGAGATGGAGAGAGAAAGAGAGACATCGAAAGGAGACAGAAGGGTGGAGGGGAAGGACACCTGGACACAGAGAGATGCAGATGGAATGAAAGAGAGATGCAGAAACAGAAAGAGAGGAAAATAATTTTTAAAGAGAAAGAAAAAAAAGGAAGATGAGAAAGAGACAAAGATCGAGATAGAAAGTCACAAAGAAGGGCTTCCCTGGTGGCGCAGTGGTTGAGATTCCGCCTGCCGATGCAGGCGACACGGGTTCGTGTCGCGGTCCGGGAAGATCCCACATGCCGCGGAGCGGCTGGGCCCGTGAGCCATGGCCGCTGAGCCTGCGCGTCCGGAGCCTGTGCTCCGCAGCGGGAGAGGCCACAGCAGTGAGAGGCCCGCGTACCGCAAAAAAAAGAGAAAGTTACAAAGAAACGAGAAGAAAGGAAGAAGTAAAGATGGAGAGAAAAGCGAAGAAAGAGAGGAAGAAGGGGGAGAACAGAGCAGGTCGCTGAGGACTCGAGGGTAAGGAGAGAACAGCAGTGGGGGGAGTAGAAACCCTAGCCCGCTCTAAGTTCTTCCTGCCTCTGCTTCTCCCGCTGCCTCCCGCCAGCGTCCCTCACCCGTCCTCCCACCCAGCCATTCAGGCTGAGAGAACACAGTCTCAGGGAGAGCTTCCCCTTCCTTCTTGAGCCTTGGCATGGAGCCTCCGTGAACGCGCTGTGGATGGAGGCCAGATCACCCGCTCACAGACGACTTGCATGTGGCAAGCTGGGGCCCACCAAGAGGCTCACAGCTTCCTTGGTGTCAAAGGAGTCCTTCCTGGGACTTCCTGTAGCATGTGCTGTTTTATGTCCCCAGCACACACCCACGGGCTCTAAATCCAGGCGCTGCCTTATTGCCAGCTCGCCCCGCTCAGGACATGCCCCAGGGTTGGTGTGTACACTAGCATTGGGCACAGCCGGGCGGAGGACTGGAGAAGGCCATGGGAGTTGCTTACTCCACCTTCAAAATATTTACAGAGCTGGTCGAGTGCCAGAGGCTCTAGGAGTGCCTGCATTTGTTTATTTATTTATTTTAATTGTTAGTGGACTTAAGTTGATTTATGGTGTTGTGTTAGTTTCAGGTGTACAATGATTCAGTTACACACACACACACACACACACACACACACACACATATATTCTTTTCTAGAGTGTTTCCCATTATAGGTTATCACAGGATATTGAGTATAGTTCCCTGTGCTATATAGTAGGATCTTGCTGTGTATTTTATATATAGTAATGCATATATTTTAATCCCAAACTGCTAATTCATCCTTCTCCTTTCCCCTTTAGTAACCGTAAGTTTGTTTTCTAAGTCTGTGAGCCGACTTCTGTTTTGTAAATAGGTTCACTTGTCTCAATTTTTGGATTCCACATATAAGTGATATCATATGGTCTCTGTCTCTCTCTGTCTGACTGACTTAGTACAATAATCTCTAGGTCCATCCATGTTGCTGCAAATGGGAGTGTCTGCATTTAAATGCTCACTGTGGCATTTGTTAGCCGAGCACAGCCTTGCACAACCTAGTTAATCTGCCTGTGCCTTAGTTTCCTCATCTGACAAATGGGGGGTACTTATGGTACAAACTTAACTGAGGTTCCTTAGAGGATGAAATGGAACTGGCCCTTCTTTAACAAGAATTTATTAAGTATCTACTATGGCCTCAGAATACTTCTCTTGGAGCTTTCTCAGGGGAAGATTATAACAAAAATAATAATAAAAACTACACACAATGAATTGTTGAGCACAGTGCCTGGCACATAATGATCCAGGAGAAATGTTAGCTGTGATTAACTGGGGATCTACCATATAGCAGTCACTGCCATAGAACTTGAATTCTATTCACCATCACTTTGGATCTTCAGAATATTATAAAGCAGTTAACGTTCCTGCTCTTTTACAAATGAGGAAACTGAACTCAGGAGGTGGAAGTGGGCTCCACGTCACATACTTAGCAAATGGGGGACCCAAGTTCAGACACAGAGCCACTGAACTAAAACCCATGCTTTCGACAATATGTCGCTGTGTCTACACAGCTATACAAGGACCGTTCTGGCTTAGGTGGAGCAAGGGGCAACCTAGTATGCAGCTTTGTTCCACATGCTCAAGCTTCTGCTAGAATCACTGGCTAGAATTTTAGTTCTCTCTTCCCTACGACTCCCAACGCATCCTGTGCAGAGTTGAAAAAAACCTTTCTCTCTCTCTTGTGATCTGGAAAAATCTGGAGCCAAAACCTACCAGAGGGAAAGCAAAGGAGGAAGGAAAACCTGGACCCTAACAACCAGAATTCCCATGCTACGTATTCAACATTCCCTTCATAGACAAGTGAAGAAACTCGGTCTGGTGGAGAGTGAGAGAGACTGGGCATCAAGGCGCAGCGATGTATGCCAGGTCCCACCATGGGGATTACCCTGAGCTATGCCGGGGTCAAGCCAATGCGAAGCAGGCAAGCAGCAGGTCAGAAATGGGGGAGGAGGAAGCAGTGGGGAGGGGAAGCAGGAGATGTCGAGTGAACGCACCAGCTGGCTTCTAAGTCAATGGCTAAAATCCCAAATCAGCTAATGTCAGACCTTGGCATAAACAACTCTCTGAAAGTTGTTATCACTAAATTAGCATTTATTAAAAGCCTGTAATTATTATCCTTACTTGTGGGGTGTGAGAGAGAGTGTGTGTGTGTGTGTGTGTGTGTGTGTGTGTGTCTCCCCCTCAGCCCTGTTTACAAGCATCCTCCTAATTTATTTTTGATCAGACTGAACAGGGGACAAACCTCTTTAGCTAATAATGACACTGGCTGGGTGTCAGATGTTCAGGATTTGGAGAAACTGGAAGGATTTGCTCTTGCTTCCCTTTTTGTTTTTTAACTTAACTATTTTGAATCACCGCTACAGTTCAAACCTGACTTTTAAGCTCCACCCCACCCCCCGATCTCTCCTTTCTCTTTACTCTGATTACATCGTCCCATTGGAAGTTGCTTATCTTCTCAAATGATTTCACTGACACCAAATGTGTTCCTAGACCAGCC